CTTTGAGCTTATCCATGCAAGTTTAATTTAGTGAAAACAAAATTTGTAAAAATTTAATTTACCCTTTTGATTTTTTTTATCAATAATTTCCTTTTTGTGAAGGGCTCCATAATACTTTACAATTACCACATTGTTATTGCACGACAATTTGAAAGGATGATTTTCCCCCTTTCCCTCTATCCTGGACACCCCTGTAAGTTGGACACATTATCGTGGAACCGCAGGTGTCCAAGTTAGAGAGGTTTTACTGTATAAATATAAATAGCAACTTGTGAAGTTTCTGGGTTAGAGGTGGTCACATGTTATGAAATTTGGCAATTAAGTGCAGAAAAGTAGCTTCTGGTATTTGTTTGAAAGTTGTCATTAGTCTCAGCCACTTACCCATCACAAAGTGCAGAAAGAATAATTTTTTGGCCACTGGAAGTTGTAATGAATTTTCTAAAGAAGCTGTACTTTTTTCTGATTTCATTACACAGTTTTATACATAAATGTTACTGAGCAGTGCCTACTTTACGTAAAACAAATTTTACCTTAATTAAGGTTTAGAGTAGAGGAGGTCTATAACTCTTATATTTTTGTGTTTTAAAGATCAAAATGTATAATTGTGTTTAATAAAAGAGAATGGTTTTTTGGTTGCATTGCCAGATTACATTGTTTCAATTACAAAAAAAAGTTATTTGTGAGACCCATGGTTAAAACATGTTTAATTGTAGGTTTTGTGCATAATGAGTTTTTTTGTATGTTGTTACAATTCATAAACATTTTTCTTTATATCTCTTTAGCAGCTGTGATGCATAATTATTCTCAGCCAAGGTCAGTTTGTAAGTTCTTAAAGTTTTAAATGTAGGAGTAGGCAAAGAGAAGATGTGGTTCACTGGAAGAGTTAGTTCATGTAGTTGAAGAAGTTGGTGCTGGTCCCTTGCAGATATAAGAATCAGATGTGAATTTCTTTTAATTTTTTCAAATTTTTCCACTACATATCATAACCACAAATAATATAATAGACTGCAGTAAAGGAATGTTTTTGAACTTTTTGACTGTAGAATAGTCACACATTATCTAAAGAGTCCAAGAGTGTTCGTTCAACATGAAAGAAACCTGGGATGGGAATAAATGCATGACAATTGCAGGTACCTGGTATACGCTGCATTAAATCAGGTCAAGACTAGATTTACTAGATAATTGGTATTTCCTACTTCACAGAATTGAATATACTTACAATTTATAGTTTTGAAATGTTCCTTTGCCGATGAGGAATGTCAGCGTTTGATTACTGCGTAGTTTTTGTAAACTTGCACGTGCTAGCAGGCAATTCATACTACTGCCAACATAGTCATATGGTCCTTCCTGTGTGAAGGGGCAAGGAATTTCCACTCTGATTCTATCCAAAAATCAATTTTATGTAAACACAGATTTATGAATTTTAAGATTTGAGGTTTTCACAGCAGTGAGTCTGAAGATTGCTGTCTTCTGGTTGTTGCGCCATGTAGTCTGGTAGATGTTTACATAGAGTAACATAGAAAATATTCCATTTAGTAGATGAATCCATAAAGGAGTACACTCACAGTCACATAAAGTGTTAATCCTTACTTACAAACTGACTGAAGGAAACACATGGCAAAGTTATCAGGTACTCATATTATTTTTTCAGAGTATGACTAAAATTTAAGCCCAGTCTTTCCACATGTACCATTTCTGTTAAAGGAAAATATGTTGCTTTAAATTAAATAATGAAGTACTCTTATATGCTGTAACCAGGTAATGTATGTATTTAGTGAACTACTGAAGTGCCAGATTAAATTGTTTTAATTGTAATATGATTTGAAATGGATTCCACAGACTTCTGCAAGTAAGAACTGCCTTATGCATCAAATGATGGACCCTCAAGGTCACATAATGGTGAATACTGTTCAACAGTGACTTGACTGAGTCTTTATACTTACAGGAACGGTTTCTCCTGAAAGATGATGAAGTTACTGAACAACTGAAATGGTTCGTGCCACTTACGTGGACAACAGAATCACAGGCTCCTGTAGGATTTGAATCAACAGAAACCAAAGACTGGATTTCTCCCAGTGACACGTCAAAAGAGTTAAATATAGAAACAAATCCTGGAGAGTGGATAATATTTAACAACCAGGAAACAGGTGTGAATGGTTTGGTCATAAATGACTACATAATACCAGTATTGTTAAGACAGATTGAGAGGCAAGAGCTGGAGGAGTCGGTTTTACCTCAGGAAAAGCGTTGGTTATAGTCAAGGACAGGACATTATATTCCAGCATGGAGTGTACAGAATTTCCAAATGTGTCCTTCATGATTTCACATCCTTCATTGATCTTCATGCATTAATTGCAATACAAGTCTCCTATAAACTTAGCCGCACACCCTATTGGCATATTCATCACCCTGATGACAGAAGCAGTATGACCTCGACCAGACTACACAGCACAACAACCCAGAAGACAGACATCTTAATACAAGTCTCGTTTTGACAGATTCAGAAAATAGTAGATATACTTCTTCTCCCCCTCCCCTTCAACCTCTCAATGTCCGCTACTGGACATAGGTCTCCCATTGGGGATTTTAGCCATACACTACCACGCTGGCCAGTGCGGGTTGGTAGCGGACAAACATCCATGCCTTGAGTGGGACTCGAACCCAGGTGCACGAGGATCATACCTCAGACCGCGTGACTACTGCGGCCGACATAGATATACTACACTTTATATAAACTTCTTTTTCCCCCCATTTAAATGTACATCATGTTGCAATATATTTATAATATAAGTTGTAGATCTTGAGATACTTTTATGTTGTATTTAATCTTTTGAATGACAAGCCATTCCACAGACAACTGATAATTAGATATTATGTTAAACAGGGTTTACAGGAGACTGATAAGAGTCCAACTGGTCAACCTTGATGTAGATCAGCTGTCCCAGCCAAATTTCATCAAACCCTTGACTTGGGTGATAATACATATGTACAAAGAGACATGATTTCTCAACTATCATTACGTTTGTATAGCTTTGTGAATAATATAAAATCTGTTCTACTTTATAGAATATTTATGATTTAGTTTATACCTGAGATTCTCTTTGAAGGTTACTACAGGGTAAACTATGACCCTGAGAGCTGGAAACTCATCATCCAGGGCCTGCACCGCGACCATAACGTCATCCACCCTGTGAATCGAGCCCAACTGCTGGATGATGCGCTGAACCTTGCCCGAGCTGGGAAATTGGAATATTCATTGGCCCTTGAAGTTACACATTATCTTGGACTTGATCAAGACTACATTCCTTGGGCTGCCGCTCTTAACGCCTTCTCTTTCCTTGACAGAAGGCTTACTAGTGATGATGGACATCAATATTTTAAGGTACATCCATATTTCATAGGCACATCATGTCACTTTACCCAAAGAACGTGTACAAAAGTTCGTTCTTAATGATCTCTAAAGATTTCTGACAGTGGTAGATTATTTATACTAAAATGATTTTGGAAATTATCCAACATAATATTACTGTTGGACCCTAGTGTCATTCTGAAGCTCAGTATCACAGGGCTTGAGACGCGTTCAGTAATACTGAACTGATTGTGTTTAGATTTCTGGGACTCTAAACACCTTTTGTGAGTTTAAAGAATGAAGGAAGTGGCCAACAGAATACGCTGACTCAACCGTAATTAATCTTACCTCAAAGTCTGATGACATTATATTGACCACTTACATCATTTGTTGTGGTAGCACATCATTACAAGTAATGTGAATTTGATGTATTAGTAATTAATTATACTTTCACTGATTAATTATAACTCTCTACATGTATTAACTGTAATTGGCTAACTGACAGAGAAACTGGCAAGAGGTCACTGTTCTCATGGGTGACACCATTGCTAACATATGTGTCAGTATCAAATTGCAATACCTTTAACAGTAAAATAGCAGTTATAGTGAGGTATTTGATCAGTGGGGAATCATACGTTGTCATGATGTGTATCAGAGATTCTCGGCCCACAGCCCTCTGATGTGTTTTGTGTGGCTCGTGTACATTTTTTTGTAATATGCGTAATATATCACACTGTATGATGAAAATTATGCTTTTCCCTGAGGTCATAAAACATATTTTGTTTATTTTGTCGGTATTTTGGAATAACTATTGCTTTGAGCAACTGCCCAGCTTTGTGAAAAACATCAAATTGAGAACTTACTGATAAACCTGTGAAGGGATGCATGCAAATTGCAATGATGGAAATCAAACCTGACATTGATAGAGGGGTGTCAAATATCTGATGACTGATTTCATTAAAGAAAATTTGTGACAAACGTGACAACCCATTTGCAATAGTAAGTTAATACCATCTTTTATAAATCATCATGACCTTTCAACATATTGCCCTCTTTTAAAACTATGTGGCCCACAAGTTGAAACAAAAATGTGTTTTGTCCTTGGTCTGGGAAAGGCTGATAGCCCCTGATGTTTTTATATGCATTTAAGATTTCCAAACAGTCATCCACATATCAGACTACATACCTTCCCTGTACCAATTAACATAACCTAATCTATTCAGAATATCTCATTTAACTCACAATAAATAGTAATGTGAAAATAATTTTAATGCAGGCAGTGCTGCTTATAGAGACAAGAACTGAATGCCTAGCATCAACAATTCTGGCTAGTTTGTCAGAATTTTACTTTTCCAAATGGAGAGTTGTCTGAGATCAATAACCTTTGCATGGTAGATAAGTCTTCCTGAAGAATTCTCCTGTGTGACTTTGCTGCTTTCTGGGGATTCCCCCCACATTGTAATTCCCTGGCTAACAATATTTGCGAAGGCAGCTTGGGAATTCGACACGCAAGAATTCTGTATCTTTTACCAGTGAATACATTTAGGTCTTTACAGGAATTACCTGATATTGTCTGATTTTAACCAATACAGGAATGCATCAATAATTCTTTGTAATTGTTTTGGATATGAAATTTTATGACGTTTGTTCATCTGTTCTTGAGGAGCTACAACCAGGTGAACAGACAGGCATGCCACAGCTAACAGGTGCATTTTTGTAACTTACTTGCAAATGTAGAGCCGGGATAGCTCAGTCAATATAGTGACTAGCTACGATCTGGATGACTGAAGTTCAATCCCTGACAGTTGCAGAGGATTTTTCCTCTGCATCCAGATTGACTCTGGGGCCCACCCAGCCTCCTATCCAATGGGTACCAGGGTCCTTTCCCGGGGGTAAAGTGCGGCCAGGCCATGATGCTGACCACTCACCCCATCTAGTGCCGAGGTCAAGGAAGAGAGGAGCTATACCGCCATTCCCCCAAAACGACATACATGGCGTGTAGCGAGACGGCTTTACTTTTACTTCTTTTAACTTGCAAATGTGCCTAAAATGAAGTGAATGCATGTGTGCAGTCATCACACATTGTTTGATAAGTGTCCACTGGTTTTGTGTGTAGAAACAAATGCGCTCTAGCAAAATTGTATCTTTTCCCAATCCAGAATGAGAAACAAGAATCATCAAAAAAACCCATCTCTGGACTGTTCATGTACTTACATTAGCAGTCAGCATACAGGTGCGAAACATTTTAGATAATGGTGTAGAAAAAAATTTGTCTTGTAGGGTTTAGACCGATTACAGTGCCTTGACTTGACTTTAATCGAATGGAGTAGTTTTATCGGTTATTATAACACAGATCAGATATTGTATTTTTTCATTCTCCTTAAAAGAAGTTGCACATCTTTTGATGATTCATTGTCATACATTTACTGATTGTAGTGATTTTCCAACTTCTAGTATTGTACAGTCACGTGCTGGTATTATATTTATTAAGGAGTCGAGCTCTGGCTTACTGGTTGCAGTCCACATCCTGCTAATTGCAGTACGTATGGCATAAAGAGCTAGTCAAAAACATGGAGTGGTGGCTGCATGGTAATATAACTAACTCCTTTGTAACAGAACCCGCAGGTTCAACACTGACATCACCAAAGCCTGCTACCAGCCATGATCCTGAGCCAACTCCATCCATTTGTCATCCCCACGGGCCACGCATGGTAACATAGTCCCTTATTTACTAAAGACATCTTAGTGATTTAGCACAGTTTACGTGAACTGGAGTGTATCAAATTGATTAAACTTTCTGTTACATTATTGGTTTCTTTTCCTTCTCGCCCATAGCTCCACCGACCGTGACAGAACTGAGCTCCTCATTAAGCTATGGTATGGTTGAATGGCCTCGGAAACTTTGCAGCCCCACAGAGTTTCACAAAACTCAGCAGCCAATACATGTGTATCACATTTAATCACTACATGAGCAGATACGAATACAGGTTTCTTAAGAAAGAGTTCATTCCGTTCCCCAAAAGAAAAAATTACAGTATGATTATTTCTTTCAGATTTTTGTATTAAACCTGCTTAGAGGCGTGTATGACGAGCTTGGATTTGAGGAAAAGAGTGGTGACACCCAAGTAAGGCTACTACACAGGGTCAGTGTCCTGACATGGGCTTGTCGCCTTGGACTGGAGGACTGCGTCAACAGAGCTGTAGACATTTTTAAAGCATATAAAGGAGATGCAGAAAACAATCCGTAAGTATGTCACAAATGTCCTGAAACAACTTGTGAAGAGAAGGACAGTTTTCATAACTATCAGAGACTTCCACGTATTTACAGTATTTCCTGGATAATAAGTCACCCCATGTAAGAAGTTTATTTTTCAAAGCTTCTCCTAAACACTCATAAGAATAACATTAAATTTTCCGTGTTTATAGTTCTCATGTGTAACGTTTCCCCACTTCAAGAGTTTATCTTGTAACAATTTTTTTTATATATCCTATTTCATACATCTGAAAGTTATAATTTAAGTAGCGGGTTTGTAAACATAAACTGAAAACGACAGTACTTGCGCACACTCAAATGAAGGATTGCAATGGCATCGACTGTTCCATTGGTGCATAGCCATGGTGCAAGAATCGATATTTGGCAAAATAAGTTAACTTTAAAGTAAATATTCATTTTCATTATTTTGATCACTGGGGTAGACTGTTTTTCATTTTCGCTTCAGGACTATAATTAGTTCATGAAGGTGTATGCATTTATTGTGTTGCTGACAATTTATGACACGGTAAAACAAAAACGAGACACCACGGTGGTCTAGCGGTTAGAACGCTGGCCTTGTAATCCTGGGGTCTCGGGTTCGATTCCCGGCGGTGCCCGAATTTATAACTTGTGTTGGGCAAGGCCGTGGTCTAGGCAACACGGAGTTTTCCTCCGGGGGCTTCCCCGGTTTCTCCGTGGCATCCCAACAATTTCTCCATTCACACACAGAAGAAGGCATATGGACCTGTTGTCAGACAGAACACTAATAATAAAATAATAATTTGAACATGCTGCAAACCACCATGCGCACTTTATTTATTTTAATTTTAAAGTTGTCAGACTAACTCATCATAGGACCGCAATATGATTTCCAAGAATGTCAGGCTATGCCTGACAGAGGACTTGAAAGGTTCAGTTCTTAAAAGCCTCATCAACTAGTTGAATATGTTAAATAACATGATTCTTAACAGAATATTGTATTAATTTTTAAAATATTGTCTTATTTAATAGAATTCCTGCAAATCTGAGAAGTCTAGTTTTCTGCACAGCCCTGGAAAATGGAGGGGAAGAAGAGTGGAACTTGCTATGGGAACGCTACCAAGAATCAGTCATCACCACCGAGCAAGTGACCATCCTGTCGGCTCTGGGTTGCACCAGGAATCAATCTCTCCTGGCACAGTAAGTGTTCTTATTAGTTGGAACTGAGAACTCAAGAACAAAAGAGCAGGAGCGTTTCGTTCCTTTGTTTCTGACCGCATTGCTACCTCTTTATGTAGCTGTACTCCACCTGGTGAGCATTGGCTACCACACAATCTAACACACTTGAAAAATGCTGTCACCAAACCACAATACGTACCTGATATTACAATAGCTGCTGAAAGTCATGTCTACCAACATTCAAGTTTATTTCTTCCCGCTATAATAAATTGTGACACTTTTACATTCAACTTCTCTAATTTAAAGATGGACATTTCAGATTTTTTTCAGAGTTCATTATTGTTTGTTTAAATTTTCTGCTTTAAGTTACTGTTGATTTTTAAGGTGTTTTTCACACTGTAGCGTAAGTGAAGAACACATTATGGGTCTGTCCATGCCAGTTCCATTTTTGTATGGGGTTAGAGAACCTGCTTCACTGAGTTCGAGTGTTGTGCAACGTTAATCTTGGATCACATTACTTAAAGAACAGCCTAAGGTGTTATATGATTTGAAGTTTTCGCGGTGACTGAACTCAATAAAATCATTTTAGGTAGTCAGCAGCATCAAATGATTACACGAAGAGACCAGCATTTTGGGAACCATCATAATAATAAAATTATCTTAAATTTTTTACTTACCTTCATATAATTTGCAAGAGAAATACAGAATGAAAGAAGTATTTTCCTTCTAAATTAAACAAACTGTTAAAATTCTTTGGAACTGAATAATGACAATAATTAAAATACAATAAAATTGTAAAGGTTTTTGTAGATGCCGTAATGATGAACTTCTATAAAATCCATGCCCCCTACCTGCACTGTTATATAATAATAATAATCATACATCATTCGAAAGACGCTGTTGTAAAATAAAATTATATAATGCATGTAATACATATTAAAAACAAAATGTATCCCGGAAATAGCTGCTGCCCTATGTACCTTAGGGACAAGGTCTGTCTCGGGTACGTGGAAGTACATGCCCCATAAAGTGGTGAAGAGATGGGATAATAATAATAATAATTGATTGTACAACACTTCTTTGTCAGGTACCTGGAAAAGTCAATTGACGGCACGTCTGGAATCCGGAAGCAAGATGCATCTAGTGTGTTTTCAGCTGTGTATAGCAATCCTGATGGAGTAGCAACAGCTTTTAATTTCCTCAAGGATAAGTTTTTGGAAATCGCCAACTTGTAAGTTTTTAGTGTAGTGATTACCTCGAATCATCTGAAAGTACAGAGGTTAATACTTCATTGCAGCTTCCAGCATTCAACCATTTATAAGAAATTAAACATTTTACTATTAACAAAACTTAATGCATGAATATGTTTTTTATCTTAAATGTAGTTTAAAATAAGTGTGTTTGTAGATTGTGATATTCTGGGTTATAAAACGTAAAGTAAAGCTGTCCCACTAAACGCCATGTAGGCAATTGGGTGGGAGAGGAGGTATATTTCCCACTCATTCTTAACCTCGGCACTAGGTGGGGGTGAGTGATTAGTGTCACGCCCCAGCCGTGGTTCACCCCCGGGAAAGGACCCTGTATTCATTGGATAAGAGGCTGGGTAGGCCCCTGAACTGGTCTGGATGCAGAGGCTAGAAGAAAATTCCTCTGCCCCCGTCGAGGATCGAACCCCTGTCATCCAATCCGTAGCCAGTCAGAGGTGTCTTGATCTTTGGGGTATAAGAGTAGAATTCTCGCCTCTCTGACAGTTTCAAGTCTTGTGTACAGTGCAGAGTTCCTAACTGTTCCATGGTTCAAAAGTAGCGTTGTTTTCAGTCTACTTCCTAGCACCTACAGAATTCTTTGATCATGTGAGTGCTATGTTTACTTCACACATTAACTCCAGCTCCTGAGTTATTTGTCTCATCATGAAATAATGTAAAATAACTTTTGTAAGACTTGAGGTTCTCACAGCGGTGAGTATGAAGATTTCCGTCTTCTGGGTTTTTGCGCTGTGTAGTCTGGTAGATGTTAACCAACGTTTCAGAGGTCATACTGCCTCCGTCATCAGGGCGATTCATCGCCCCGATGACATCAACCAGACTACACAGTGCAACAACCCGGAAGGCAGAAATCTTCATACTCACTGCTGTGAAAACCTCAAATCTTACAAATTTACATGTCCTGAAACAGCTTCAGTTCCTTGCAACCGAAAATGAACAGCAGAGAAACATTTCATATGTGGAGCTTGACATTAATCACTATCACTGTTGAACTATTACCATCATGAGTATTACTGTTGTTCTTATTCTTCTCTTTTAGTTATGGAGGCATGAACGCCGTTTCCAACAGCATAACTGGCATTGCAGGAAGACTAACCACAGAAGAACAAGTTGATGAAGTAAGTAACTCATTTTCATGGCAGTGGAATATGATAACTGTGAAGACCACGGGCAATCTCCAGTCGTTATAACGTTTTCTCATAGGCTTCACCGACATG